TAGTAAAAAAAGGAATACTAATAAAAAGAAAAGAGTAGAAGTAATACTGCGAATATTTTAAAATCTAAAAGACCAAAGTAAAGGATCTGGAATGCATCCGTGTGAAATAGCAATCTAAGCCCTTACGATAAATTTACGTCGCATTTCTAGCAAGGCAATGGCAGCTTTACTTGGGATTTATCCCGTGGGAAATCAGTTAGTTTCGTTCGGCAAAATTCGCAATATTACTGTGGTAAGGCAGGTTTGAAGGCGGCTGAATAATCGAACATCGATTCGTTAAAGTCGATAGTCGTTTGTAAATAGTTCGAAATTGACACGTTCGTTATCTGTTGGAATTAATATTGAATATTCGCCGGAAAGATATCAATTATATTGGAATCAATAGTTTATGATTATATAATTATCTCTGGTAGAATGATAACAATTGCTTTACTCGATATTTAAATAAAATGTTTTATAAAATGTATTACAGAACTGAGGAAAGGGGAAACTTATTGAAAATTTCATAAAGGAAGAAAAAGTGTGTGGGAAATCTGCACGTGATGCCATTTGTTTCTCACGCGTTTCGTTCTTCGCATTTCCTACGAAAATGTCAATGCCGCCCTTTTCCGCCTTCTGTTTGTGATGAGAAATAATTCGATCTCTCCCTATTGGCTGACACATCTATTGTACTGCATACAATACTGTACAATACGTACAATACTATGAATGACGCGAAAGTACGCTCTTCGATATTTATTTCATTACTCTATTCTTTAGCACTTGCCAAGTCAGAGTCAAATTGGTTTTCGTCTATTCTCGTCTCTTTCTTTTCACCTTTTACACGCTGCAATGCTTCTCGTACGTCGCGTAATCAACTTCGACACAACATATCTCGAATCATCCCGCTTTTCATTCAGTGCGACGATGCAAACATCGAATGTTTGCTGCAGCTTGAACATACACGTGTTCTTTGCGAGCGGGCGTTTCACCAACAGTGAACGGCGAAGGAGACGTTCCTTCCCGGGGCACATTCGAAAGGTATTTTATTAACGGCGAATGAAACAGACAGCGCGGACAAAAGCTGACGTGCTATATTGTTCGGACAATACATTGAACGGGACAGAACACGCAACACGAGCCGCGCAATTGCACCGACCTGCATTCCGAATGCACGCGAGCGATGCGGTCGCCGACTACAATTGTGGTCGCTCCGCGCGGACTTGCTATCCCTTGGAAAAACACATTGGCGAACTCCGATGTTTTTTCCTTCGTTAATTCTTATCTATTAAATTAATTCAAAGAATCCCTCGTTGAATTTGTACCTGTTTTTCATACTGTATTCGGTCGCGACAGTGGAGAGCCAGACTCTACATTACAGAGTCTAGTCACGATTTCATCAAGATTCTATACGAAAAGGAGCTTTTGCTAAAGTATCTAAAAATTCAGCTAGATACAGAAAATAATTTTGTTGGATTATCCAAATAATTATGTAGAATGTTTAAACTGGGTGGGTGGGGGAGGGGGAGTTGCTACACAGAAAAAAAGACTATTCTTAAATCAACTATAATATGTGAGCATGTAAGCATAAATATTGTAATTTGTATTGATGCAAGAGTTTTGATTGAGCAAGTCTTGAAAATTGTTGAGTGCAAAGCAATCAACACAAATTCAATCAAATCAGGACTAAAATCTTTGAAGCAAGGTTATAATTTTTACTTATGTACGAATGTATTATAATTGATTTAAGAATAGTCTTTTTCTGTGTAGATTGTCGAAACTTTTTGCAGCATTGCTTATTATGCTTGAGATTCTTATGTAATTATTCTGACATTTACATCAAAATTATTTTCGGATCTATATATAGCTAAATTTTTAAATTAATAGAATTATTCTTTTGTGTACGAGAGAGAAAGGTATAATACCTGTATTATCTCCCTGTATATATATATATATATATATACTATATTCTATTCTAACTTATACTATCTCGCTCTATAATCTTAATTCAGGTTACAGATTGAGGTAGTATAAAGGGATAGTATAAATATAAAGGGATACAGAGAAAAAGGTGGTAATGTGAATTTCCGCTGCTAATGTACCCCACTTAAAATTCTGTTATAATTAACACTATCTCTTGCAAAAGGTTTTTAACTTGTTCTTAGAAAGGTTGTAAAGCAATTGCCGCCACGACGGCGCGATTTTTTTGTTAACAATTAATGTTTATTCATTACGAAATGTATCAAAGTTTCTTCGTATGATTTTCAATGTTAAGTTTAACGTAATTTCAAGTTCGTAAATAACAAGTTTATCTCTAAATTAATTCTTAAAGTGCTATTTTTCTATTTTAAGTAGATAAGAAAAATGGAATAACTGTACTTTTCGCTAGAACATAATTAAATGTAAATTTTGTCAATGTTTCTATATTCGACTCTCTAACAAGTGGGTAATGTGGATCTTAGGATTTTTAACGAAAAAATATTGTAGAAAGTTGTTTTTTATTAAAAATCTCTAATTATCACTTTAAAATGATTTTAAAAAGTGCCAAAAGGTATCTGTGAAACGGGAAAGAAGTATGTTCATGGTAAATATTCGCAAAGACAGGATCAAAAGTATTACTAGGAGAATACATTCAGAATTTTCTATGAATTTAAGCTATTTGGACTTCGTAGGAAGTTCAAATAAATCTGAAGGAATTAGATTCTGTAAAATTATAAGGGAGATCTCGACATTACCATTACATTCAGATAATCACATCATAATATCTTTTTTCATTTAAATCATTTTCTCATTTTACCACCTATCATTTCAAGTGTATTTTATATTAAACTTAGATTGATTAATTCATTAGCGATATCATTAACTTGAATATAACTAAAAAATAAAAAATTGCACTTAAAACAAAATGAGGGCCCACGTTAGCATTTTTTCCTCTATACATATCTTTCTCTTTCACAGGATTTTGACATAATCGTTCGTGGTCTTTGACTTTGTTCTAAGGTTTCTAGTGGAAGCGATCTTCATTTGTCGCGAATCCATCCTCTCTCTACCATATCTGTCTATACGAGGCAGTCAGTCTCTTGTAGCGAATCCTGGTAAAACCTGGCTTATAGAGATTGCGTAACGCACTAGAAACAAGTGTCTAAAAGCTTCCGTTGCATCGTTCCGACGGGCGCGCGAAGTTTACGAAGTAATCAGAAAGGTGGAGGGGAATCGTGCCGCGCTACACACATTTATGCGAGTTTGAAACTCCACCTTCGCAACCTCAATCTCCTCCTATTATAACGTCTACGATGAAACGAAAATATATCTCCGGCGCCAAGTTTTCGGGGAGCTGAGCTTTGACGCGGGGCGCAAGTTATTAGACACGCCCGCGCAATAAAATTATGTTTCGCCGCCGTGTATCCGCCCCGTCACGGTGGGAAGTCACGTCGATTACGTGATACCGACATACCGTGTCGAGGCTGAATCTTTTTAATCGTTCCCATCCACGCCCGTACGTGCCCCCGATATATAGGTAGGCCGTAATCGGATAACCGAAAACGAGAGCCAACTCTTAAAACAATTTTAAATTCAAGCCGGAAAGCAAGTAATTAGTAATTTCTTCTAATTACTAAACCAGTTCTCTCTAACAGGCAAGAACTTCGGGCTTACCCTCTAATTGTGAGGAAACGAACGGGGGTAGGGTGAGATGAAGGGAGAGAAAGAAAAAAAAAAGGAGACGGAAAAAGAGGAAGAGGATGACATCCGCCGTCGGTGGAAGCGAAGGCACGTGTTTCAAGTATCTTCCGAGCGAGGAATCCTTGATATTAATTAGATGAGCTCGTAACTCTGAAATCGGAGGAGTAAGAAGCCGAACTTCGTTTGGGAGTTCGTTAAAGGAGTTACTCGCGTTCGTATGGCGGCGGATATCCTAACTCGCGTAACGACTCTTAACGCGATGGTCTTCCCTGCTTCCTCTGCCTCCTCCCCTTCTCTTCCTTCTCGGTCTTCTCGTCATACCCCCTGTTACGAACGCAAAGTTCCTAGCGTGAAACGCGTCCCTACCGTCCTGGATGCTCACAATTTGTTGCACGCGACACCCGACGCGTGTCACGGAGTTAGACACGCGAGTCTTTTCCTAGTTGTTTTCCTCCTCTCTCTCTTTCTTTTTCTCTCTTTGTCTCTTTCTCTTCATGTCGCTGGTGAATACTTTGTGAGAGCTTTAACTTTAAAGCGCGCAAATTCCACCCTTTGGAAAATCTCTTCGCGCTGCGAGAAAACTGACCAAACATTCTCAGGTCTCCCTGTTAATAATATCCTGATTCTCTTTTTCTCCCCCCCCCCTCTCTCTCTCTCTATTGTTGAAAAATTGCTGCTCGACGCAAGAAAATTAAAAATACTCTTTAGCTTATACATATATATTCCTAGTCAGTTCGTTCTACGAGATAATTAACGGAACGATGATGGAACTACAATCGAGGACGCAGCATGAATAGCCGTTTGTTTCAGCCGCTACAATAACCGCACGCATACGGCGGTTTACTTCATTCTATTATTTTATACGCGTGCATTATGTTTAAAGTCAAAAGAAACGGCTTTTACTACGAAAACTTTTATCGCGCAAAAATTTTTATTCCAGTCGGTCGAACTTGCCGAGATAAAAGGAGCTTGCGTACATTCGCGTAAAATAAAAATCGCCCCTAGCAATGTGAGGTGGATCGCAGGCGGATTAAAGACATCCGTGGTGCCACCTTTGAGCAGCTTTACGAAACGCGATGCGACGTTGAGTTACCGACGTACCGACCGCTGTAATACTTTACAATTTTTCTAATTTAGTCAGAAAAAAAATATCCGATGATTTTCAAAACGCAATTGACGCGACATCGGCAATTTATTAATTAAAAATATCGTACTAAATTCGCAATCTGGCGGGAATTTCGCTCCAAGTTTCGCTCGTCGAGAAGAAGTTTCCTCGATCCGCCGGCCAGATGGCAGCAGCGACCGCGGCGTTGCACAATATGGCCGCCCTAGTATTGGCATCGCCATGGCAATTCTCTTGGCAGCTTCCTAACTGTCGCCTTTTTTATACATTTTACACGAGTTTTTCTAATATCAGCGCCTAGAACATAGATATAGTGTGTGCGTGCGTGTGCTATGATGTAACTACGGCGCGCGAAGACCGCCGTAAGATCGTCGTTGAACGCATAGAACGCGGTGAGTGTTTTCCTCCGTATTCTCGTTACGCTGTTCGAGCAGGCTGCGAACGTCTCGCACTGTCGTCTCGTCCCGATGGTTTGTTGACGAGTTTCGTGCGAGTCGCGGGGATCGATCCTACGGGGCGAGCACGTGATACCAAACAACGAGTGGCGACTGTTCGCGGGTGCGATCGCGTGCTCGTCCCGAGATCCGTCACTCGTTCTATAACCTCCTTTCCATGTCTCGTACAATTTTTCTACTCTGCCCTCCTCCCATTTCGATTATACACGGTCGACCTCCTCGTCGGCATGCATTTACTCGTCTCGTCGATCCGAAAAAATTCCGCGAATTAACAGCGTTCCTCCGACATCCTGCCACGAGGCTGCGCCGGTAAACAATCGAGGGATTGTTTACCGATTCCTCGGAAGCCAATGACACTTGCGTGCGCAATCATTGACGCGTCGCGCATTGGTTTCTTTCAACGAGCAGACGACAATTTCCTAGTCTACGTAAAAGTGTGCGTTGTGTGTTAAATTTACAGGCAGAGAAGTATTAATTATTAAATTTACATTAAAAATATTTAATGTATATTAATCGTGAATATAAACAAACAAATAAAAGCGCGATATATAGAATTGCCACTGAAATTTGTTAGGCAAATTAAATCCGCATTTATATTTATTCAACTCATAAGCAAGTTATACAAAATCAATATGGTAGAAAAGATTGAAATATATAAATTAATTCTATTTGTTATCGAGAATAATGAAATATGTATATATTTATGTAAACTGTATTCGGACACTTCGCCGGCGCCGGCGAATAAACGAACGTCGCCATGGCAACCCGCCCGTCCACGAGTATTTCGCGTGTTGTGACAGCCGGTCGGAAGTGTGGAATAAGCGCGAGATCGAATATCGCACGATTGTTCCTCGGTTCGCACGTTTTTGTCCTCCTCCCTCCCCCCCACATTGTCGTTATCGCGCCGGCAAATGGATTCTTTGTCCTCCGCGTCTTGAAATTGTCTTGGATCGTCACGGCGTAGCTCCGAATACGTCGCCAATCATCGGTATTTTTAAGCGTATTAGATACACGTGGTTAACAGTAGGATGCGAAGTATTCCTCGAGACACGGAGGAACGTATTGATTTTTCTGCTGAAATTAACGTGTCTCCGTGATGTTTGCTTTCAGGGCGGACCTAGCCACGTTCCGAGTCTCTGAAAAGCGACACAGGTGCGTACCGACAGTGGCATCCCGTGGAGGGATGTACGAAGTTTCCGTGCAGTAGCGACCGACGTAGCACGTATGTTTATTATCGTTACGTTCTTCATTTATCTTTCGTTTATTATTTCGCTGACCACACATATATGCAATGAAAAACGATCCTTGACATTTGTTCATTGTCCTTTTGATCTTATTTGATTACAAACTTTGATTGTAGCATGTTGAAATTGAGCTATTTCTAGAATTGAGTTTTGATCTTCTTAATAAGTAGAGACATTGTCTTTAAAGTTTTGTTTTTAACAAAGTAAGACTATAATATATATATATGTATATAGTTTATTATAATAATATTATAGTAGATACTTTAAGTCAATCTTCAAAATTTACATTACGATTGTTCATGAAATATTATAAAGTTAGCGGACATGCGCATCCGCGTATTCTTAAGTCTCTTTTATCATTAAAGATAATGTCATGGCAAGAATATAATTCATGTTTTTAATTAACTGCAGCTGATAAAAATACTAATAAAATATTATCAGTGTTTATATGTGAGGTCATTCCATAGCTATTGAATTTTCTTCTTTGTTCTACACACTCTTAATTTGTGCATATGTATATCTTATCGGTAATATTTTTGTTACCGTAAACGATTCGTTCATTTCTTCTGACGCTTACGTAAACATTTGTTTGGTTCTTGTTTACGTATTTCTTTCACTGTCATTTTTATTAAAAAACTTTTCATTACAATCAAAGTATTACCAGAAGGGAAGTAAGTTTATATATTATATTTATAACTATAAAAATATACAATATATGTTATACATATATAAATTTGAAATATAGATTTTTTTTAATACTTGCATGTATTTTTATTATCATTTTAATATATACATATATATAATGAATTATTTTATATTTTTTGCTTTTAATTATTATATTTAATTAAAGAACAAATTCAGTATGTTATACTTTCGTTATAAGACTGCAATAAGTATACTGTTAATAATAAATCATTTCTTTCTAATTTTTCTAATAGCTTATTTTTATCAATAGTTTTTCATCACCAATTTTATTCATGCATTTATATGTATGTTTTAATGATAAAAAATTCATGCATTCTCGAGCAGTACGATTTATCTATTACGAGTATATAGGGAAAAATTTTCCCCTGTCGCTTTATTATTTATCTTGAAATTTATGCAATAAAGCTGATCTGCGATATTTCCTAAATTTGATTTGGCGTAAACATATTGATTTATATTTACAAAAATGGACATATCGTTATATATAACCAAGAGGAATAATTTAACAAACACGCCAATGGAAATTTATCATTTTCCATTAACGGAAAATACAAACAAAGATAATTAAACTGGAGCAACTTTAAAAAAAAATGCTTCAATTTATTTTATCGATACATTTTTATTATGACGCTGGTAATTGTAAAAGCTATGTTATGCCACGATATGACATATGTATATGTATATATATAGGTATATAATAAAAGCATTACTATATGTATCATTTATGGAACAAATGAACGTTTATAAACGTCAGTTTTAATATTACTTTTAAATTTATTAGAATTATTTGTTACTCACAATTATTATATATAGCAATTTATATCGACATTTACCAATGATTACTGTTTTTTCACTCATATTTCTCGATGCAACTAAAGGTGCGTTCGGGAAGACGCTATTAACGCTATTTGTATTATCCTATCTTTATTGTTTATTAGACGTAAAAAGGCAGAATGTGATGACACAAATAGCGTTAATAGCGTCTTCCTGAACGTACCTTAAGTGTTTTGAAATAATATTTTACTTCGTTGCATAATACCCCCTTTCGCATAGCCATAGTTTACTCTTGTAACTGAAAAAACTACGTATTCTTGACAGTTTTATTGTGCGTAAAATAACAAAAAAATTTGTAATATAAATATTACCGACACATATCGTAGCATAACATCTTTTTTGGTAACTTATGAAGGTAAGTCTTTGTACCGACTGCAGCAGCAGTGTTCATATCGACTGTTCTAAACAGTCTGTTCTTACCCATGATTAGGTTTCTGCATTTATCGGCTTGTCTGTTTTACCATTCTGTATGTCGATAATATAATTTTTCCCGGTTGTTATCGACTGGTTTCCATTTGACGATGGCAGTTTTCTACATTAGAAGCAATCGCTATTATTGTAGAAAATCGTTATGTCCGCTTATTGATAAATTAATTTATCACTTTGCAATAATTAATCAAATGAAACATAATTAAAATTGTAACTAGTATATATCTTTACGAATTTAAAAAAAAATGAAAAGAAATATGTTCAAACAAATATGTTATAAATATGTTTAATGTATACGCGTTCTTAAATTTAGTCGGAAATTAATAAGCATCGTGTAATTGTGTGTATTTATTTTATTACACGTATATAATACTCTAAACTCTATCGTTTTGTTACCAGTAAAAAATTTACGAAGACAAAATACATCATGAAAGATGTTCACGGAGAAACACGTACTTTTGCACTGATTAATTACATTTTAAGCATTTTTATAATACGGGATAATTATTACTCGCAACACGATTGAAGTACAGTAGCCCGGCAATGTATGAAAGGAAAAGAAAAAGAACGAGTTCACGTAAAGCGAGGAATGATTCGTGGGTGGGTTTCTATGTTTGCGTACAAGCGAGTGTACTTCCAACTGCGCGCGCGTAGTGTGTGCGTGTGTCGTCGGGTATTATTTTTAATCACTCAATAGTTCACCCGAATGCCCGAGTATGAATCTCGAGGCAATGCGATTATCTCGTAATTGGATTATGTTTGACTTCCACCTGTTTTTATGCAGATATGTTGCGTTCGCTTCTTTTCACATCGCCGGTAGCGCCGAAGTGCTGATATCGTTTTTCCCTCTGCTTTTTTAATGCAGCAATTCACGCGTGCTAACTTAAGCGGCTCGACTTATAACATTACAATCTAATGGTGAATTACGCGAGAAAAAATAGATTATAAATTACGATGTTGTTTTTACATTATAATACATTGATCGATCTTTATATTTACAAATAATTTCTCCATTCTCTCTACAAGAAGAAGAGGAAGAAAAGAAAAGAAAAGTAGATAAAAAGAAATTTAAACTCTATGACAAATGTGCAAACTAGTCCTTGACTGTGAATTTATATTAACATCTTATCCTTTTAAATTGACCATGAATCATGAATTCCCCTGCCACGCGAGGGAGCATCTGGTCTCCGTGTTATATTGCGTCAAAGGGGCAAGAGATCTCACGAGGGTAGTAAACCATCAACGATAATCGATCATGCGACTCGGTAGCTCCATTCATGGCGTGTATAAAAGAGATAAGCATCATTGAACTTTCATCATCAATGCGCGTGACATATAGCCTTTTATGTCGAGATATCACTTGCTTTTTTACGGTTAGCGAATTAAATTAGTCCATTACCGTTCTCTTTATCAATCGTTGTATCGATAATCAGATAATCATTTCGTCAAGTTCGCGTTGAACGACCGTTTCTGGTCTTCATTTTCTTCTTGGTGAGACTTAATGATGTTCCTCGAGTTCTTATACTCTACGCTGCTGTCACGAAATATCTAGAAAAAGAGAAATTTTCTGTAGCTTCTACCCTTCTTTGCACAGGATTCGAAGAAACTGTAATAAAGATATTGGGATGCGGCAGTTTCCAACGCGTACGAGTTTTTCCAACTCGCGAGCGACATTAATGAAAAAGTGATTAATTTCAAGCGTAGGGTGGCAAACTCCCTCCACCGTTGGACTTCGACCGTGTTGCTGGGTGAACTGAACCGAGAGAGCGAGAGGAATCGCGACGGGCGGCAAGTAACTGACCGCAAAAGCGACGACGAGCTCTTTTATTTATTCCTGTTTTCTTTTACGCGGAGACCCCATTCGTTCATTAGACCCGACCATCTATGCAACACGTTCGCGCAGGCCGAAGTTGGTGCCGAGTTTTCCCTCGGACCGCATGGTACATCTTTCATCCTATCTTCTCGCCAACTCGAAATTCTCTGCCTCGGTCGTTCCTCTAAACTGTCTGTTGGTGGTTCGTAGTAATTTGAAAATGTGATCACATCTGGATTTTGTTGGACCGTTACTTCATTCTTAATAAAAGATTTATTTAGTTCGCGAAACGTTTTCAATGTACAGCACGATAAACTAAAATATTTGCATTAATAAAAAAAAATAAAATAAATAAACTTACGTGGAATATAAACAAATTATATTTTTTACGATTATTATCTTTTTTTGTTACCGCGAATGTGCGGATCATTTTTTTGTAAAAATATGATGCTTCACAGTCTCTAAGATTTTATCCATTTTATTATTTTAATATTTCGTTTTTCCTTTCTTATGTATGACTAATTCTCGTCTGAAACGCATCTTCGTGGTGGCTGCGTTGTAGAACTCCTCTGTTTCCACAGCCGGCGAGATTAGAAGCAACCGAGGCGGAAGCAAATCCGAGAACGCGTTTGATCTTAAACCGTCCCAACTATTTTTGATGCATGCCACTCGTCTCTCTCTCTCTCTCTCTCTCTCTCTCTCTCTCTCTCTCTCTCGAGAACGCAGCTCTTTCATTGATTAATACACCAGCAGGACGCCGGTACTTAAGCTTGAGGCTGTATGCATTTAATTACGTAATGTCAGACACACGGGTGTAGCTAAATAAACGCGCGGAACGCATGCAGAGATGCGTGAGGTAGGAGTTTGACGCAGGAAATGGGTGATAGTAGTGTAATGGTATTTATGATGGTGGTAGTAATAGTAAGCAACTGCACCTGCGAATCTTTCAGCGCTATGGTACTTTGGAAACATGCGAAACCGTACGAGCCGAATGTCGGTGTAACCAGTCCGGCCCGGGGCTAATGTTGCAGCAGCAATGCCAACCTTTACCCTCTCGCCCATTCGCATGTCTCCCTCCACGAACTCATCTTCTCTCTCTCTCTCTCTCTCTCTTCCCCGTTCCGCCTATCGGTCGCCCTGTATACTATCCCGTGCGCCGCTTGGCAGCTGCCTCTTCCTGCTGCTCCCGTGCTAATT